TTCAAGTTCAATTGAAATTGCTGCTAAATGTGCAATCGGGGCGCTATCAGCACCAACTCGTTTTCAATTCTCCACCTCGGGTCTTATTACTTCATTTGCAGATGACTGCGGCAGTCTGTTTAGGCAAGCAGATGCGAGTTTGCGCTTTGGATGTTCATTTTCAGCTCCTGCCAGAGAAGCAATCTGAATCACATGTGCAACCACTCTCTAACTGTTACTGCAGTCTTCAATTTCTACCCATTCAGGCTGCAATGTGGCCCCGATTTTCTTGGAACTCACCTCCTGTTACTTTATTTTTCACTTCCTGCCAGAACCATTTGGGCGACCACACAAGAAAATGGATCAGATCTCTCCCTCCTCTTGAGACCTTGTTTTTAGATTCCTACCACAGCCCATTTAGGCGCCCAGACATTAAATGAGATTTTTCCGTCTAATTTTTTTATGACCTGGCCTCTAAATGTGATCAGCTCTGCAATGGCTAAGATTTCTAAAAGGACAAGTTTGCGTGGTCATATTCCACTTGCTCTAAACGGATTGTTCATACCCGTCCTTAAATCTAAGTGCGCGGATGATTTCACCGCGATGCACGTGAACACACGTACCTCGTGCGCCCTCTGTGCTCGGCGTAGCACGCGGCGATCCTCTCCTCCCACATTTCTGCTGTCATCTGATACAAATTGATGACCTGCAACGCATCCACAAAAACCTTGATCAGAGCTACGCGTTGCCTTGGTAAAACGCCGCGCGGATGCTAGCCAACAACTCACCCTTTTAGGCAGCAGCTCCTCCTGAGATAAAAAGCCAGGCTTGTGAACGTTCGGGTTGTAGTCGCCGTACTGTAAAATAATGGCAAGTTGAAATGTTTTGTTTTTGTCTAATGAGGAAAAAGAAGTCGTTAGTTGGTCATGTGAATAAACGGGATGCGGTTAGATTTCAATTGCTCTTTGCCACACGCCACTCAGATGATCACAATCCCCTCCGCATACTCAAATTGGGAATGTTGGTCACGTGACTGCGAAAAGCCGATCCGAGCCATCGTTTATAATCGCGCTCGAGCTCTTTTAAGATAACGCGGGAGATTTGCATAACCGAGGCAACTTATCGCCCAAGGGTCAAAAAGGCAAATGAACGACAATTAGCAAAAATGTGATCCTTTGGGGGAAGGTTTTAAGCAGCCATTGTAGGACACTTTCCAGAGATTCGATAAAAGATAAACGCCGAGAGAGTTTTTGAAAGTCACCGCGGAACATGAAATGTTGGCAGGCATGAGAAGACCCGCTCAGGAAAAGTCAGAGACTGCCTGGCTTCTTCACATTGTCACCTGACCCACGATTCACCGCCAATTATTGCAGCCAATGTTACGGGCGGTCATCAATCCGGGAAGGACCGAAGCGTGTCACCGCTTGACCGTTTTGCGGGCGGCATTGCGCACTTTGCCCAAGCGCACAAAACGATCGAATGTTTGTGACTCGCGATGGCCACTTGCGAGCTCGCCGTCTCACTTCGGAGCCCGCCGTCTCACTTCCCGCTCGGCCCTGACTCGCCCGGCTCACGCTTGACCGGGCCTCTGCGTCAGAGAGTCGATTCCCTCTGCCCCCACCCCCCACACCCCCCTTGGGGCAGCTTTATCTCCAAAGCGCCCTGTCAAAATCCACTTGCGGCGCGCTCTCGGAATACAAAATCAGCAGGGAGAAGCCGCTGAGGCAGGATGAGAGCGGCAAGACAAAAATCGACCATCTTTTGTTGCTCGAGCGAGATTATTTGCTGCAAAATACGACGCAAGTGGAAAGCAAAGATGAGTTCTGCCGCAAAGAGCCATCACCCGAAAAATGCTGAGCGCTGCCAAAACAATTCGAGGCCGTCCCCCCTGCCCAACTCCTTGTTCATATATTGGGGGGAATGGGAGGAATATATTTTGTGCTCGACAGGAACCAGATTTCAGGGTATCATGAAGATCAAACTCCTTCGAGGAGTCCCGGGAACACATTCGACGGCGTCTCGTAACAAACGGCGAGCGGCGGCCAAGGCGATCAAATCAAATGAGCCGATGGCCAAACAAGGAGCCGTCGACTGGAAACTCGACAGGAAACCTCTTATCAAATCCGGCCGCTGCTTAAGGCAATAGCGAGTGTGCAGCGCCGACTTTTTGCTGAATTCTGACTGTGGGGAAGCACATAGCTTATGTGCTTTTTTTTTCTTCTTCCTGATCCGCACTGCAGCTTCTCTCGGGCCGTTAAATTGGCAAGGAGGCGAGGGCCAAGCTTGTGGAGGGTCGTTACCGAGGTAGAGCTCCCCGTCTCTCTCTGGACCCTGTCCACCTGTCAAAAAGACACTCTCGCTGTCAACTTAAGCCAGGAGGGCTCGCTCAAGCCCAACGTCTCCCCCGCGGGGGGATTGACGCAAACTTTCCTCTTGCTTTGGCAGTTTTGGCATTTGACGATCCATCGATATTTTTTTTTTCTTTTTTTCATACCGGAGCTCATCAAAGTTGGCGGGCTATGACTGAAAACAACGAGACAGACGCGGGATTGTCAACATCTCACCTAGTGGGGTTGAAATCACGGGAGCGCACTGAACTGTATGGCGCTTTTGAAAAAAATAAAGTAAACCACACGAACAATATGTTTTTTGTGGAGTCGTCAGTCCAGGCGATTTCATCGTTCCCTCTCTCGTTATCGCTGCGAGCAATCGGTAAGCGCCACGACTTTTCTTTTTGTCAAAAAAAGTTGCATATTTGGGGAATTTTTCCGATTCTGCTGCTTGGTGGCTAACTGGACGTTCAATCCAACATCCCATTTACAAGAGCACCACCTGTCACCGCACAAAAAATCCAAGGAAACGTTGCTATATTTCTATAAGGCCGTCTTGAAATGAATGTTTGCCACAAGCTACTGAAGTTAGCGCATCTACAATTGGTGAAGTCAATAACACACAACAGACATTTCTACCAAACTGCATGTTGTTACGGCTAAGTGAAGCATCTGATTAAGATCTGATTCTTGTCTAACAAAGAAAATTGGGAGTTTGTTCTTGAAAGGACCACTCCCTTGAAAAAAAAAAAGAAAAAATACTACAAAGGGCCTTAAAACAAAAACATTTTAAATTGTCCCAGGAATCAGTTAGGGGAATTTTTAAGTCTGCCAAATATTTGATTTTTCACCTTTTGCCAATTTTGCCGTACTCGCGGTCTTAGTAAATGAGGCCCTCAGCAAGTCTCGGCTCCAAAGCGATCCTGACCTTGGCATGTACGGCGTAGGAGGCCAACAGCACCGAGGCTTCGGGAGGACAGTGGATCTCCTCCTCGAGGATCTTCTTCTTCACCTGCGGAGGGATTCAAAGAGGAAACATGAGCAATGTTCCAGACCAATTTTTTTTTTCAGACCGATGCTCCACCTTTCATCCTCCTTTCCTTCCCTCTTTCCTGCCAACCTCCCTCCTTCATCCTTCCTCCATAACTCCCATACTCCCTCTTTCCTTCCTTACACACACACATACACACACACACACGAGCAAAAGATTGTCAGCAAACCTGCAGGAAGAAGAGATGCTGCGTGATGTCCTGCACCAACTCCTCTTCGACATTCTCCGGGTAGAACTTAGCCAGAAAGTGCAGTGTGATGGGCTCCTCTTTGGGGACTTCCTGATCCAGCACCTGACGACACACAAAATGACCGTGAGCCTCGCGGCGCCGAAGAGACCTCGCGAACGTTGGAAGTTGGCGAAGCGGACAGACAGAATTCATTTTATGAAGCATTAACCCGGTGCCGCTTTGTGGCATCTCGGTGACAAGGAACTATCTCAAAGTGGGTTGAGGAGCTCCACATAGCCAAAAGTGTGGCATCCCATTGCCTATGAAGTGTGTTGACGTGAATGGAGGGGTTTCCTTTCGATATAAGTCGTGCTTTGACGATGTCTTGTGGCATCTACTAGCAATTTGAGTTTTTGGGGGCTGAGGTGCAATTCTTGGCGGAGTTTCGCAATTGGCGGGAGGGCTCGGTCTCATGGCTCCGCAAATATCTCTAAATTTGTGACATTTTCCTGTGGAAATTTCTCAGAGGCACTTTTGGTAAGTTTACCCGAAATGTGAGAGCGCGTTGCGTGCCGATCGCTCATGAGCTTAACTGTCATTTTGTACATTTTGGTGGGATTTGCTTGGAAGGCCTTTTGCTGAGGCCACCTCACCTTTTTGTCCATCTTGAGCCAGGCGACCGTGTCCTTGACGTGGTACCTGAGGCCGAAGAACCAGGTCTCCCTCAGCCCCAGCGTTCTGCACACCAGCTCCAACAGCTCCTTCCCCTTCCACTTCGTCTGCATCACACAGCGCAAAATGCTTCCACGCTTACTCCCAAAGGCGCCTGACCAAATACTTTTGCCAGTTGGGACACTAGACAGCTCGGTGGCTCCATAAAGGGACCCAAAAGGATTGTTTAACTAACTCCAAATAACGAATCAGTTAGTTGACTCCCTCTGACAACGTATCGTGATAGGCAGAATAATTAGATTAAGTAAAAAATATATATATTAATTGAATAATAAAAACATCATTGCGTGTCGTGATTGCTTTATTTTACTAACACAAAAAAATATATAAAATATATTTTACCGTGGGTGTTGTAACATTATTTTTGCTTTTATGATGATTATTATAGCATCCACAGCTCTCTGCTGCCATCTAGCTTCTCTGCAAGAGACTTTCACCAGTGTCGAATGTTGATCAACCTGTGGCGTTTTTGTGTTTTGGTTTGTGAGAAATTGTTCATTTTCCTTCCGTTTCTTTCTGGGTTTGTCCACTAACCTCGCAGCTGAACTCCATGTCCGACTCCATGGTACAGATCCTGACGTTGAAGCTCCTGTTTTGTTTCCTCACCAGAGAGTTCCATCCCAGTTTGGCCGCCAAATTGCTTGCCATGGCCACGGAAAATGTCACATAAAAACAAACAACCACTCAAGAGTCCACTACTCGCCCAACGAGTCCGTGAATGCACCGTCAAGCCATTTTAAAGCACATCAAGGCGACTTCGGTGTGGGACAATCCAGTTTCCACGCATGCTAATTTCAAGCTAACAAGCCAAAAGTTAGAGCCAAATTGAGGTGGGGTAGACACAATCATCATCCAGGATTAGATATCCAACATATTGGAGAGTTTTGCAGATTGTTAATACAGTATAATTCCTTCTCCGCAGAAGTGCTAAATGCTTACATTGTTTTGAACAAGCGCCAAGCAAGAGCGATCACTTTTGCTCAACAGCTTCACGTCCAGCCAGGGGAACGATGCTACATTCAGGTACCCATGGGAAATGTTCCAATCTCATTGAAAAACGACACACTGACGAAACTAAATGGACGTATAGAGTCACGGGTTCAAGTGTTTTGTTTTAAAATAAAAATTAAAAGTGTGCTGTCATTTTCACGTCTTGTTGTTTTTCCTTTTAATGTCTATCAAATTTGATTGAGGATGAATTTTAATTGATTACAGTATTAGTCTTCCCGCCCACTTCAGCCGAGCTCGGGAGCAGCAGTGCGCCTCATTCCATGACCTTCGAAATGTGTACTTACAACGCTCACAAACTAACGTACTATCCTGAATTGTACTTTACAGCAAATCATAAATGTTCTGCACTGTCTAATTTTAAGCAAACGTAGCTCAGGGAATCTAAATTGTGACACTTTTCGTGTATTTCAACTACGTTGTGGTAATCACGGTACTTAATGCAGAGACATAAAGGCATCATGCCTCACCTTCTTTTGGCGAACAACCAATCAGAAAATAGCTCTAGTGAGATGGGTTGGCTAACCCGTGTGGTGCGTTCAAACACTAACGGAAAATGTTAAAACAGGCTCAAACATTAAATCGGAAAATATTACACTTTACATTCGAAAACACATAAAAGGCCGATTTTCAAAGCATTACGAAATCATGACTACTGTAACATTTGCGGCACATCCTTTTGTTTGAACCTTCATTCGCTTTTTCGAGTCCCGAAATGCACGTCGTCCGTCCCTCTTCGGCAAACAACCAATTAGGGAACACCACTTGCCTCCGCCCTGCCCTCTCACCCAGCCCCCTGCGCCATAAGGGGGCGGAGCCGCGACTTTGAGGTAATCGGGGTAAACAGAAAAGATGGCGGCGTCTGTCGCCGGAGAGAGTCTGTCCAGCCCGACCGGGACCAGGACCGCCAGCGGCAGTGATGCCGGGGGCGCAAATCGCGACCGCCGCGGCGACAAGTTAACCGATTTGCCCACCGAGTTGTTGGAACACATTTTGTGCTTGCCGGTGCTCGAACACATCGACATTTGTAATGTGTCCTGCTGCTGCCTGCGCCTGCGCGACGTTTGCCACGGCCGAGGGAAGGTGTGGGGGCACCAGTACAAACTCAGGTCGATATTATTGTAGTTAGGTGATTATTATTATCGTCAATCATGTTCTCAATCTGAGGTGTCCTTTTCGTGTCTTCTTCCTGGTTCACTGCCCAGTCAATTCTCATTGCCTTCCGTTTCGATGATGCATCACTTTTCACTCTTATGGACTGCTGAATCCTATTCTTGATTCCTTTTTGAATTATTATTACTCTTATTTTGAATTCCATTACATCCAGACTTAACACACGTGTAAATTTATGACATTGAATTGGAAGGGATCATTTCAGAGTGAACCGATCAAATTGATCAGGAGTCAGCCAGCTATTTATGGGATGGCTGTCTTTTATCCACCTGCTCCTCTCCACTTTTCAGATGGCCGCGACTGCAGAGGTTTTACCCGCAGAATGAGAGCTGCGACTGGCTGCGCGAGTACAAAACGCGCCATCGGGTGGGCATCCAGATCCGGAGGACGGTGGGGTCCATCTCCAAGCGCTTCTTCATGGAAGTGGTGAGTGGACAGAGAAGCGAATTAAACGTTGCATATTTAAACCGCATTTTGACAAACGTTCACAGCCTTAAAGCTCAAACATAATTTGAAACGCCATAGATGGGCTAACAAAGTTAATTGTACATTTTAAACGACTGCCACTTGAACACACATGGAGCAGCAACACATACAAACGGAGGATACACAAATAGAAAATTAAGCATTTTGTTTAAAAAAATTTGTGAACTGCACGATATTGGGGGAACACTGTACTTCACTAAACTTGAGTTAAAAAAAGGATTTGGAAACCAAATTTTGTTGCAGCCATGCATCGGCCAAGTGCTGGGCGACACCTTCGCCGAGATCGAGTCGCTGGGGATGCCCGAACATTTCTGCGAGGACGAGCTGCTCTTTATCCTTCAAGCCGAAAAAAGGTTAGGCGGCTCTTCGTGTTTCTAACCGGTGAACCGGCGGCGGGAAGGAAGCAACTTTGACTTACGAGCGCCCCGGTTTACTCGCCCTATGAAAAGTGCTATTTTTCATTGTTCAATACAAGTAACAAAATTTGTGGTCGCATTTTATTAATTTTTTTTTGTGGTTGTCTGTTAAGGAAAAGCCTGACGTTGAAGTACTATGCAAAGAAGATCCTTTACTTCCTGAGACAGCAGAACATCCTGCGCGCGCTCAAGAGCTTCCTCGAGCAGCCGCCCGAGCAGCAGTCGGCGCTCGCAGGTGAGAAAACAACCTTTGGAGCAAGTCTCAAGAAGCCATGGCTGAAAATGCACAAAAAGTCAGGCATCTTGCTTCCAGGGCTCCTCCAAAGACAAACTCCACCTGGAGAGTTTTTGAAATTCAGCCCCTGAGGCCCATTTCGCTTTGCAACATGAAAGTTAGTCAAGGCATTAATCGTGTGCAGATGGGCGACGGCTACAGTGTGCATGTTTCTCCAGGTGCCGTCCTGGTAGACCGGTACTGCAATCCGCTGGCCGACGTCACGCTGGACGGGATATCGGCGCAGCTGGACGACATCGCGGAGAAGGTCAAGAAGACGCTGCGGGTGAAGAATCCATCCCACCCCAGCCTTCGCGTGGCTCCAGGTGACTTGGCAAAAAAAAAAGCCGTCAAAGCAACTGCCCTGGCGTGACGATGCCCACTTTTTTGTCTCGCAGGGGGCGAGCGACTTCCATTGGAGGACTTGGAGCTCCAGCGGCAGGTCGTCTGCGCCCTCAACGCCGTCTTGTACGACCAGCTGCAGTACAAGGGTGACCAATTGGACTACTATAACCCGCTCAACTCCTACATCCACCAGGTTGAGTTGCAGACATTTTGTACAAAGTAGTTTACAGTTAAAAAAAAAAGAAATTAAGTGCTTTCAAGCTACAGTGGTATCTCTGCTTATGAACAGTTCTTCATACGAAATGTTCAAGTTACAAAAGACCTCAACGGGAAAATATTGCCTCTTGTTACAAAAGAAATTTCAAGATACGAAAGGTAAAAATACAGTCAGGGCTGCAAGTCGCAGCTCCGAGTTTCCTGAACGCAACATACTTATAGCTGCTCTGCCATTGGCTATTACCTGGCATCTTTGTGGCAACCCACTGGCAAAGAGGGACCTCTACCGGATGTGTCTATGCCTGTAGATAGATAAATAGATTTGTGTCAATGCAGCGTCCTCGTCATTTGCCCCTCAAGCCAAGAGGCGTTCCGATAGTTTTACAATAAATGTGAATCACCCAGAAAAAGCGTTCACCACTCGGGCGATCGCTCACTTTGGTGATGTTTGCCTTGGACATTTTTGAAGGATTGTTAAAAGCCGACAAAAGCAAACGTCCTTGGATCAGTTCTTTACAAGGCGCCAGGCAAAAACCACTTGTGAGAGAGAACATGAACTAAAGAGGGCAAAAAACAATGAGGACACAGTTAAAAGTTAAATGAGCATCATTTTTATTCATTATTCTTATTGTGCAATAATCTAATTGTAAGATGTATTTGTTACATATTTGGATGCGTTTTTATGCTTTCGGAAAAATTTATGTCTGAATTTTGGGTGGGCTTGGAACGAATTAGGGCATTTACATGGAAAACGCGTCTCTACTTACAACATTTTCGAGTTAAGAAATTTCTTCTGGAACCAATTAATTTCGTAAGTAGAGTACCACTGTATTTGTTGCCACTCCCGGTTGAATTTTCCTGTCAAACTAAACATCAAACAAAGAGCACGTTGCCTCCGGAGTCAGTCGTGATGGTCAAAGTGTTGTCCGTTTGTATCTTCATGACTGCATTACACTGGCGCCCAGTGGCTCAGCTGTTCCCACTGAAAGGAAGTCGCAAACCTGTTGACTTCTTGAAACTCTTCTTCATGAAGTTATGGCCATGTGTTCCGATGAAGTAAAATAAGAATGCTCACGGATTGAATTGAGTGTCTTGAAACGACTCCTCTTGTCAGTTGTGTAAGAAATGTATCGGTGAAGTTCACGCCCATTCTGACCCAGTATTTTATCTCGCAGGTGCTGCTCCGCCGCAAGGGCATCCCCATAAGCCTCTCGGTGGTCTACATGACGCTGGCCCAGAGGTTGGGCGTCAAGCTGGAGCCGGTCAACTTCCCCAGCCACTTCCTGCTGCGCTGGTGCCAAAACGAACGCGGGTACTTGAAGGCCACGCTGAGATGTCCGCCCACATTTTGCCTTAGGTTAACATCCGCTGCGGGCCCGCCCCCTGCAGGAGCGACGACATCTACGACTACGTGTACATCGACGCCTTCGGAAAAGGCAAGCAGATGACGGCCAAAGAGTGCGAGTACCTCATCGGGCACCAGGCCAGCGCCGACTACTACGGCGGCATCGGCACCACCGACGTGTTGCTCAGGATGGTGGGGAACCTGCTCAACATCGGGAAACGGGGGTAACTGTTGGCTCGAGTGCCTCCCTTTTTACATGTGCATGCCAAAGCGACGCAGGTGGGTTGCGTTGCTGCCGTAATGCAGAATTCCAGCCTTGGGAAATGAACGGCAGCCTGCCGCCTTGCCACTAGAGGGGGCCGTGCATGCGTGAAACACAAAACTGACCGCGGCCTGAGAAGGAACGGAGACCCAGATGGTTTTGTTTTGTTTTGTTTTTGGAGGGAAAGTAACGAGAAGTCGTACCAGCTCCTGAGGGACACGCTGGACCTCTTCCTCACCATCAACCCCGACAACGTTCCCTACCTTCTGCTGCAGGCCAGGCTCTACTTCCACCTCGGCATCTGGCCCGAAAAGGTGCTCTCCCTCTCACACGTAATCGCCGCAAGGACTCTTAAGTCTCACTCGGTCGCCCACCAACACTTTCTCTCACTCCGACACTCTCGCTCCTTCTCCGACATTCTCGGGGGAGTCTTGACATCCACTTTCACACACTCTCATAGTCACCGTCACACCGCCCCCTTCCACACTCATGCGCACGCCCCGGCGGTGACGTCGGTGCTTGCTCGGTCGGTCGCGGCAGGTTCTGGACATCCTGCAGCACATTCAGGCGCTGGACCCGTCCCAGCACGGCGCGGTGGGTTACCTGGTGCAGCACACGCTGGAGCACATCCAGCACAAGAAGCATCCCGCCGCGCCCGAGGTGAAGCGGCGCGGGGCGGCCGACCACCGGGACGTCCGCTACTCCGTCGGTCTAGTCATGAAACACAAGAGGTGCGTTTGGGAACGATCCCCCGTCGACGCCCCCCCGCCTCCCGCCGTATGTCCACTTTGCCGCCTTTCCTGCGTCCCAGGTCGGGTTATAACTGCGTCATCTACGGCTGGGACCCCAAGTGCACCATGAGCCAGGAGTGGATCACCACCATGAGGGTCCACCAGCTGCCCGACGGCGCCGAGCAGCCCTTCTACAACGTCCTGGTGCAGGACGGCACCTGCCGATACGCCGCGCAAGGTGAAGGCGACCAATGAAACCCTAAATCAGATTTCATGTCAGGTGTACCGGGAGAGTGCCGCACGCACCTCGGGGTGGAATAGAGTGCCGCATATTTTACGGATCTTCCACTCGGAGTGGAATAGAGTGCCGCGTATTTTACGGATCTTCCAACCACCTTTGGTTACTTTGTTGTCCTTATTTATGTCTATTTTTTTAATAGAAATGACAGGTAGAGAGAGACAAATTCCTAAACGATGAGGTGAATGAGGACATAAATGATGAAAATGTTCCATTCCAAAACATGAAGTTTTGTGATCCTCAAGAATTTAAGCTACCGACTCTCCGATCCTGATGACAAAGTGGCCCGGTGTTCATCTTTATTTAGTGGAGAAATGAACAAAAAATATTTAAAGCACAAAAGTATATTTTTTATTTGGAAAAACAAAAAGGGCAAATTTGTGAAGACTTCAGATTCATGACATCTTTACGTTTTTTTTTTTTTTTTTTTAAATTGGGGGGGGAAAATTTACATTGCAGTACAATTTTTAAAATTTTTTTTTACATTTTTATTTGTGGACTATTATTGTGAAAAACTTAAAATGAAAAAAAAAGTTCCATATTTTTGCTGCAAGTAATTGGTCTGTAAATACTTTTCAAAAATACTCGTGATTTTCAAGAAAAATGAAAAAAATGATAAGGGCCTGTTAATATGAAAACTGATTTTTTTTTTTAAAAAAAAAGTAGTAATTCCGCATGTTCGGAATTACTACTTTGGATAACAAGAATTTGTTGCGCCCGTATTCCAGAGAACCTGGAGCCCCACTCAGCCCCCCTGGAGATCGGGCACCCCGAGGTGGGCCGCTACTTCTGCGAGTTCGCCCACACGCACTACGTGGCCAACGACGAGCTGCGAACGCGCTACCCTGATGACTCGGACCAGATGGAGGAGACGGCGCGCCACCTCTACCCGCACGCGCGCCCGCCCACGCCCATGTAGCCGCAACGTTTGCCGTTGCGCCGCGTCCCAACGTGGAGATGGGAAAGCTTGCCGGCCACTTTATAAGGTACACCCGCACTGGCTCGTGACGTCCTCCACGTAAAGTCTCTCTTTTGTTTGAAGGGACTCGTTTAATCATGAGGTTGTTTTGGTCACCGTGAGAGCCGCTTTGAATATTTCGACCGGCTCGTGTAGAGAAATAAAGCAGCCAAAATATTATTTATGATGTTCAACAATCAGGATTACAGTCGTTCTTAAAAAAGAAATCCAACCACATTTTAAATTATGCTTATTATGATCCTTAAGATCACATTTACTATTAATGTCAAAAAAAAAAAATCATGATCTTAATTGTGATCCTGGAGTGAAATTCAATGATTAGTTATATTAATAAAAAAATTAGAAAACAGGTGGTCATACTGCCAAACTTAAAATGTATATGCTCAAGTGTAGAAATAAATTGGTTATTCTTTATTATTTCAGTAGTGATCCTGAAGAGAATTTCACCGATTATCATGACTAATAAATGTTTTTAAAAAAATAAAATAAATACAAGCAGTCATGAAGGAAATTCCAGAGTTAATTGTATACATTTGAAACAGTATATAAATAATTGTATATCTTTTTAATTATTTGCGTTGTAATTTCTGGAGGGAAATTCTAGGATTAGAATAAGTATAATGATTTTTTAAAAAACATCGAATTAAAAACATTTGTCATTATATTGACGATGATCTATTAGAATGTGAATTCAAGGATGATAAGTACAACCAATATATGTATGTGTGTGTGTGTGTATATGAGAGTATACACACACACACATATATACATGCGCACACTGAAAAATAACTTTGCAGCTACAAACGTCCTTAGTACATTCAACAATAAATTAACATCTGTGGCTTTTTTTATTTAAAAAAAAAAGTTTTTTGTCCTCCTTGATTTTAGACCTTTTCCCCCCCTTTTATCGTCCTGTTTTACCAAATATGCCCAACAATGAATGGTGTAACCCCATTCACGACACCGTAGAACCCACTGAGACTGTGCAGGTGTACCTCATAAAATGTCTCAGCTGTTTTGCGTTCAATGCAAAAAAGACGGTCGTGTTTCAGACAAAATGGAAAGACGACAGTAAATTCCAGGTGCTGTCAATCATCTTAGAAAGAACAAAGCAATGCTCGTGGGAAAGCATCAAAAATCGTTTGCCAAATGACCTTTCCCCATGCACATTTTTATCTGTGACATAATCTGCCCAAGCACGAAAAAACCCCAAAACAAAACAATAAAACTATGAAAAGACAATGTCACTCTTTCTATGGACAATCCTTTGTGCATTTATTCCATTGACAGAGAAGCTACTTGAGAGAGAGAGAGAGAGGTGCTTACCTGTTGGAAAGACAATAGTTGCTCGTAAAATGTATTGTGTACTAGTCCGTCAAAAACGGCATGACTGGTGGGGAAAAATGTCACAAGCAAGACAGCTACTTCACCGGGGGCTGAATTGTCTCTCAGAACAAATGGCAGACGAGCTGAAGCCAGTGGGGGTGGGGGGCATTTAGTCTCCTTTGTTGTGGGTCTGCATGTGCGTAGCAAAACTGTTTCGATTGGTGTAGCTTCTGCCGCAAACGGAGCAGCAGAAGGGTTTCTCTCCCGTGTGCGTTCTCATGTGCGACTCCACACTGGCCCTTCGAGATAACGTTCTGCCACACACGGAGCAACTAAAGGGTTTCTCTCCTGTGTGTTTTGTCATGTGTCTCACCATATCCGACTTTTGCGCAAACTCCTGGCCACAAACGGAGCAGCTGAAGGGTTTCTCTCCCGTGTGCGTTCGCATGTGTATTGTCACGTACGACTTTTTATTGAATCGTTTACCGCACAACGAGCAACTAAAGGGTTTTTCCCCTGTGTGAGTTCTAATGTGCGACTCCATATTTTGTTTATCTGTGAATTTTTTACCACACACTGAGCAGCCGAAGGGTTTTTCTCCCGTGTGACTCCTCATGTGCTTTATCATCTTTGCCTTTTCAACGAAGGCTTTTGCACAAAGCGAGCAACTGAAGGGTTTTTCTCCCGTGTGTACTCTCATGTGTTTGACCATGTTGGACTTTTGAGTAGCTGTTTTACCGCACACGGAGCAGCTGAAAAGTTCTTGTCGTTTGAGGCGTCTCCCGCATGCTGGAGTCTGCTTTCCGGAACTTTCCGACTGTTTGTCATCGCCTTTCGCGTTGTCTGTGTTGTCGGCGTGTGACGGCGGCGCTAAGAGCTGATGCGGTGGCGCTCCTCCGCGGTACTCCCCGCTCGGACTGCAACGATGAAGTCGCGAACAGTCGGGCGCTTCGTCGCCATCGTCTTCACTCTTCACGACGACGACCTTCAGTGACAACTTGTTGACTTGCTCCTCTTCCTCTTGAGTGTAGCGGGGCTGTGGATCATCCTCTTCCTCTTTCACGTGGTTTGGGCCTGGACCATTTTGCACCGAACTGGAACTTCCCCTCTGTGGATGAGGTGGAGCTTCTACCTGACTACCCATCAGCTGATGGACGTCTGCAGCACACGAGGAAGTCATTTCTGTTACGGTACTGCAATTACTGGCATAGAGAAGTGGCAGTTGAAGACCTGGTCGAAGCACCACTAAGCCATGTCTGCCCTCTGATGGTGAATGGTGACATTACAACTTAAAACTCCAGTTGATGCATATTTGCAGTTCGCCCACATATATGAGAAATATTTCTCATTTAAGTTATTGTGGCCATTGCATAATGACTGCTGAAGCAATAATGCAGTTTTGAAATTGGATGGGCAGGCGGAGAAGTGCACGCACTGTAATATATATATTTGAAGATGTCTTTTTGACAAAAAGCTACGTAAGAAATACATACAGGCCGTGAAGCGTACTGCAATACGGTGAGCTTTCACAGGAAATCGCAATAAATATCATGCCGTGACCGTACTGCGATAAACCCAAACCTTTTCATATCATCACATCTCAACTGACAATCAGATGTTTTTCGTAGGGGAAAGCGGGGTTGGCCTGATTCAAAAATGTCATTTCGGCCAGCGATAAAATTAACCATTATCTTAATTGTGATCCGGGAGTGAAATTCAATTAGTTATATTAATAAAAAATTTAAAAAACAGGTGGTCATACTGCCAAACTTAAAATGTATATGCTCAAGTGTAGAAATAAATTGGTTGTTCTTCATTATTTCAGTTGTGATCCTGAAGAGAATTCGACCGATTATCATGACTAATAAATGTTTTTTAAAAAATAAATAAATACAAGCAGTCCTGAAGGAAATTCCAGAGTTCATTGTATACATTTGAAACAGTATATAAATAATTGTATATCTTTTTAATTATTTTCGTTGTAATTTCTGGAGGGAAATTCTAGAATTAGAATAAGTATCATGATTTTTTTTTAAACATCTAATCAAAACATTTGTCATTATATTAGAATGTGAATTCAAGGATGATAAGTACAACCAATATATGTGTGTGTGTGTGTGTGTGTGTGTGTGTGTGTGTGTGTGTGTATATATATATATATATACTGTATGCATATGAGTATAAACACACACACACACACA